CTAAGACAGTGTATCAGCTATTCTTTCGCTGGACCAATGATGTTGAGTCTCTAACAAAAGTTAGAGTGCTCAGAATCATATAATTCCAAGCGCATCTACATCTATTTTCCAGAATCACAGTTGTTCTTTCATCCTTCATTAAATAAACATGGAAGATGATGCTTTTAGTTCTTGCTCATTTGAGGTAAGGGTGTCACTTTGAAAAAGAAGGCAAATCATGAAACACCATTAGTGTATTGTCTTAAGCTTATGATTAATGTGGCCACAACTGAAATGCAGAGCAAAGAAAAACAAAAGTGGTATATTAGTAATGAAACTCAAAGAGACAATGTTCAAGCACGGGAATAACTTACTGGTGAATTGTGCCATGATGTCTTTATATTTAGAAGTCTAAAATATAAATCAGAACCTCATAATCGCCATAAATCTCATTTTCATCATCTTCTTTAAGAAACTTGACATCAATTTCATGCAAATCAAACCCTTAATCCAGATTGTCATAATATGCCAAATCAATAAAAAAAAATTTGTATATACAACATTACCCGTTACTATAAATCAATTGCAAAGCACCATCGATGTGGTCGCTATATCTACATCAATAGATTATTGAATTTAAATTAAAACGAAAACAAAATAATCAAGTTTAGTTTATTCATCATTATAGGACATTAATTTCAAACTAACCCCAGAAAATTTTGCACTGGGTCAACTAAATTAAAAATTTTAACAGTAATATCAGATCATCTGACGATGAGCAGATCAAAATCCGATTGACCCACAATCCATACCTCGAAACCAATAAAGATTCAAACTTTGTAGCTGCCCATAACCCACCTGAAATAGATGGATGGATGGCCAACTTCTCCACAGACTCAAAACCGTACAAAACAATAAACGAAAATCATTCACTTCATTATACTACAAAAGAAAGCTTCAAATTTTTACCAAATGAGAAAAAACCTAAATACAGGGAAGATAGGAAGAATCTGAGCTTAAAAATATTTTTCGGTTGTTCTCTTTCCGATAACATAATCATTGATGTTGTCGACTGGACCTACTTTGAAGGCCGTTGACGTTGGTTCGATCTGCTTCACAGGTGGATCTCTTTTCAATTTGACATTAGGGATAGAAGTTGCTAGTCCATCCCAATCATCCTCTAGGAGCCTTGATTTTGGTGCTGAGTGGTAGAACAAACAATACCATCATCGATTAGGATCTTGCGCTCTGTTGTCGTTTAAATCTCTCTCCCGAATTGATGAAGTCGAATTTTCCTCTTACTCGAACTCTTTCTTTGCGATAAAGATTTGATCTTGTGTGTGTTTGAAATGGAAACATGGGATTGTGATTGATTCTAAAGATTAGTAAGTAGTGATTTTGAGAGAAGAAGTAGCAAGAAATCAGGGATTTCATTAAACCCGTTCCTCCGAATGAAAGGGGAGAGACAAACGGTTTTTTTTATAACAAAATTTTTTTTTTTGCAATTTTTGGTGGCCTAGCATTGCTGAAATTGGGGGCAATTTAATGCTTGTTTCAGTGTTGATAACTATCAAAATAAAAGGGATATGATATGTGCTTATCAATTTATTTTTTAAAGTCATTGAATTCTGATATATTAAAATTATGGAGCAAAAAATAAGGGATCAGTTTTGTTAGGGGAAGATTTTGAGCATTCTGTAGCAGAAGAAGCATGTCACGTGTAAGTTTTTTTGTGAAGAACTTTTGACTTTTAGAGAGAAAACATGAAATGTGGAGCTGCCAAGTATTCTCAAGTGTTTCTGCTTTAAGTAAGTAAAGGAGATTATTTTCCTACCAGCACCGACAACCACCACCACTGACCTTCGCCGTTCCGGTCGGCCGCCGACCGGCGGTGGTCTGGCAACGGCAGAGGGCGGTCCGGTGTCGTAAGTTGGTGGCGGAGGTGGTGGATAAAAAATGTGTTATAATAATATTTGAAATAATTTTTAAAAGGTAAGTCAAAATGTTGTTTGGATAGTGTATTAGATTTTGTATTTAAGAGGTAAAATGGGACAAAAATGGTAAATAAGAGTTGGCCATACAAGACCTAATTAGTTCAAATTATGTTTTATAATTAGTATAATAATTAGTGCAAGGAAAAAATGAAGAGAATATTAATTTCTAACCATTCATTCTTAAAACCTTTTATTTGAGTTTAAGCATTTAAGATTAGTGGATAGTTTCGATGAATGACACATCATTCTTTATAAATTTTTCTTGTAATTTTTATTCGTACCTATCACTGACCAAACAGTATTTCTCAATCGAGAACATGCAAAAGACAATAAGGAAGTAAATGTTTTTTTGTTTTTTTTTTTAAAGTGATTCTTTCTGATGTACTCCCTCCGTCCCATAATTATTGTCCAGTTTGGGCTTTCATTTCTAGTTCAAATTGTACTAAAAGTGAAATCTCAAACTGGATAAAAATTTTAGGACAGAGGGAGTACTACAACATTCCGTACATGTAAATGTTCTATTTAATGGTCTAATAAAATGGGAAAGGAATCTTTTTGTGCGATTCCGAGTTCATGTTCGTGATTCGTGAATTGGTCAAGATGCAAATAATGGTCTATATATATATATATATATATATATATATATATATATATATTGGTTTGGTTTAGGCGTCATTACAGAATCCTGCTCATAGTTTTTGTCTACTTGAGAGACATTATTTCAGAAACGCGGCAGTATGAATTCATCAGTACTACAAAATCTACTACGTACACATGCAAATTCTGCAACTATCTCAGCTGGTCTCTTTCTGCAGCAAAACTTTCAGCAACTTAAAAATTAGGGGTTGATTCAAATGATCAACTAATTAATTATTAATAGTCCACATTTACTCTTTTGGCTGTCCACGTGAGGCTTCGAACTCTGTGTGTTTTGCAGTGCCTCCTGACAAATTATTGGTTTGTTTGGTTGAAAATAAAAAATATGTATTATTACTATCTATTGTCGAGTTTGAATTTTACTTTTTAGTACAAATTATACTAAAAATAAATATTTAAACCGGAAAATTACATGGTTTACGTCATACATGAAAATAAAAAAGAATAAATAAATAAAAATTGTTTAACCTTGTAAATGAGAACGCAAGCACACAATTGCTTGGGTTACCTGTGCAAATGGAGTTTCAGCGTTTAAAAATTTTCAAGAGCATCCGCCAATATGCCTCCCAACAATTACTTAGAACAAGGTACTTCCCCGTTTGAGTGTTTTTTTTTTTTCTCTTGATTTTTCTGGAATTGTGTGAGAGAATTTATTAAGAAGTGTGTGTTGGCATTGTGCTGGACTGGGTATATTTTGATGTTACTGTGAGGAGCATTTGCACATGTACTGTTGGTTGTTTTCACCTTATTCCTTATGCCAATAACGGTACTAGTTCCGATTGATTCTCTGCGTGTACGTGTTTCTCCGTTTCTGAACTCAAAAAACATGAGGGAAGAACGCAAGAGCTCCTGCAAGCCTAACCTTTTAGAATTCGTCCACCACAATATTAATTTGTACCCTTATTTTGTAACGATTGGAGAGTTCAATTTTTCGAAAATATTTTAAGGCCACCGTTCCATTCGACCTAGAATCTTTGGATGTAGAGATGTAGTATATGGTTTACTACATTTATCATCAATTGGAAATTGCAAAAAGGATTGAATTAATTGTTGAGAGTTCCCATCATGTCACCAACATACCACATGCATATTATCCATATAAAAAGTGGGCAAAATTTGGACTAATACTTTTGTTTAGGGCCAAAACTTACATTCACAAATGGAAGTACTATCCCATCTTCTCAATAACTTGTGATTGTTCTTGACCTCATTTGAGTGGAGAATAAACATCCATTTTAGTTTGTTTTGAGTTCTTGAACAGATAACAAATGATCGACACGCGCGGAATCTTTTAGATTTGAAGGCTTTGTGTACAACATCTGGACAAATGAAAACATGATTGTTTAGATGATGACTTTTTGTCTTGAGGAATGCGACAAGTTAGAACAAGATGGCTTCATCCGGATGCTTTTAGATTCAGAACTCTTATAAGCTGGCTACCTAATCGATGTATCCACATGAATATACCCTTTCTAATTATGCCCTCATCAACATCAAAAGAAACATCACAATTTACAAGCAACCTTAGAAAAATTCACTTGAGCATTGGTACAAAAAAATGAAGCTAGTACTCTATTGTTTCAAGCATGCATTCACATGAGTTCAGACCTAAATTATTGGTGTATGAAAGCCAATATTATTGGATGGTCTCTTTTCTTCTTCTTTTTTTAAGTGTGTTCAACTCAATCCCCACCTTGTTTGACTTACAAAAGGGTATCAAAAACAAATCTGATCATTGGAAAGGACCAATAAAAGAGAGAACGAGAGCCCTTTTTTTCTTTCTTTTTTCATTGAAAAGCAATAATAAATTGTAGAGTCGACCTTAATGACCCAAACTGCTCGTTGGATTTTGTGTTTTGTCAGTTGTTAGGAAAGGCAGTAGTAACTTCCATTAATTGCTACTAGAGCACATGCACTTTAAGTCAATGGTGGAAGAGCTGCTTATAATTTCTTTGGAGTTGTGCATGGAAAATTCTGCATCCATTTTGTACCCAAGAAAGATTTTGATACAATTCTTTTTTCCTTTAATTGGTGTTTAAGTTTTCATTCTCTTCGATATTCTACAATTAAGACATTTTCCTTGCTATAAAGTAGCCAAAAGTCAAAGGAATATACTTTCAATGGAAAATGAAAGTCTTAGCGAAGAAGATGATTAATTAGGTCAGTGTTTTGGCCGAGTTTAGATAATCTATCTCATTTGTTGATATATCAATTGTATTTTATTAGTGATTATGTTTATACTATAGTCTAATTTAAAAATGAGTAAGTTTATAGCTAGTCTTAAGGAAACAATATCGTCCTGGGAGTAGAATGTGATACGTATATAACTCGCCCCAAAAAAAAATCCTATATAATAATTAGGTTAGACTATCCATGTCAAAGTTTGTGTGTAGGAGGTTAAAGATTGCTAGCTACTAGTGAACAAAAAGAATCATAAAAGCAGTACTACTAGATCACACTACAAGATTAAGAAATCTAAGATTCCACACACCGCTAAACTTGGATCTATAACACACTAGTTAACTTGTTACATTTTGCCTACCTTACATTTTTCCTAACAAAGAAGGAAGAGAGAGAGCTAGGAGATCCCAACTCTTACATAAATATGTTAAGAACTACCTTTAAAAAATTAAATGAAGCAATCTCTATATTGAATCCTCCCCATAGATTGTCACATGCAGGAGGCAGCACAGAAGTAGTTTCCAAGTCATAATGCACTGAATCCAATGGCAATTTTTTTTTTTTTTTAATTGCCATTTGCTCAGTTTGGTTCGCAGTTAACTCCATCTGTCTTAGATTCATCCATGGTCCATGGTCCATGGTCCGTACATAACCTTTTTCTCTTCCTGTGGCCTATTGCTGCATTTTGGAGTAACTTACAATCCCAGAAGCACATAGTAAAGTATGGTAATTGGCAAAGCAATCAGCATTCCAAAGATAACCCTGCAGAGTTGAAGATTCCAAACACCATCATCAATACCACGCAATGTTTAAGTTGCTCCGTCCATCCCAAATTGTGACTCTAATTTTGGGACGAAGAAAATATTACACATGTCAATAGTATTGCACGTAAAGTAAATGTAGACATATTTAGAAACTTACGCTGTGCTCAAAATGTCAGGATGGACATTGTACTCTTTCGCAAACACGAAGGGAACAATGCCTTGAGGTAGAGCAGCCTGAAAGTCAACAAGATCAGAAATTGATCAGTTCAATATATATATATATATATATATATATATATATATTTAACCTAGATTTCAGACTTAATCAATCAATTGTTTGAGTTTTGTGTTAGCCTTAAGGACAAGTTCTGTTAGTACTTTACCTGAACAATTGCAACATGTAAAAGGACTCCCCGAAGACCAATAGCAATAGAAGTTGCTGCAATGACTGCTGGTCCAGTTAAGAACCTGACAGCCATTGAAAATGTTGCCACCGACTTCCCACAGGCTATGATCTTTGGTTGCAAAGCCATAAACAAACCTTCATTTTCCGAGGAAAAATTAGAATATGTTATCATCAATCAGCAATCATTTTGAAGACGCAATAGTACATCATGTTGAGAACCGAACATTAATTAACTGATCATTCTTGGGTTTGTCAAAGAGAAGTTAATATACCTAGACTGAACATGGCCATTCCAAGACCTGCATCAGAAAGGATGGCGATTGATCCCCTCACTATTGTAGGCATTTGAATGTTCCACCTGTAAAAAACAATCAATATGTATCAAAATCATTGATTTTTAAGAACATAATGAATTCTTACAAAACGAGAGATATGTATCGAATCAAAATGCTACAATTAGGTACGCTATATGAATCATAGGTCACTATCGTGCTCTATGAAAAGTACAATGAAAAATAGGAAGAAGAAAAGGAAAAGTCATAAAACCTGAAGGAAATGAGAGACCAAATGAGTCCAAAAAGACTTGAGTAAGTGTTGGGATTCCTGATAAGCTTCCTCCAGACCATGATCAGGATAAGTCTTGTCATTACAGTTGCAGGAGGCATCTGGTGCTTTTTAACTTCACCTCCTTCTTCTAAATCAATCTTATTTTTGCATGAATAAGGAGAAGCATTTATAGACAGCACTTTTGAACCATCCTGATCCATTTCAATCTCCTTGTTTTTCCCAGCTGCAGGGCTTCCAATTCCTATCAATTATCATCAGGACATAACAATTTTAGCCATCAACATTTGCATTAAATAACAGAACAATGAAACATTTCTTGTATCTACTTATATAAAATATTACCTCTTGATGCAGCAATGTCATTGTGAAGCTTGGAAGGATCAACAGAGCCTAATTCGGCTGCAGCTCCATTAACGGCATTTTTCATATGGGCTTCAGATACAGGGGAAGCACTTGAACTCCAAACAAACATGTGAAGTTCCTTGTTAGGAGCTGTGCCACTTCCACTTTCTTTCCTCTTAGGACCAACTGATCCAGAACCTGAAAACAATGGATTTGGGGTAGGGTAAGAAGAAGTTACATTATTATTATTATTGTTATTGAACATTTCCCCACTCATGCTCCTTCCACCCCTCTTCTTATTCCCCATCTTCATCACTTCATCATCAAAGTTTGAAGCCCTTGGAGTAGGCCCTTTGGAAGATTGGACTGAGAAAACATCTCCCCCATAACTGTTAGTATACCCATGTTTCGGACTGCTAATCCCGCCTTTGCCCGAAAACATGGCGTAGAAATCCGTCTGATTGAAGCTTGAAGCCCTTGGTGTTGGCTCCCTGGAAGATTGAACTGAGTAAATCTCCACACCAGTCAAGTTTGATGCTCTTGGAGTGATTGCTGAGGAATGCAACCCTTTATTATACGACGAAATCACGGAAGCCGAAGCTGATCTTCTAACAACAACATGCAACTTCCCATCATCACCAATCTCAGCATCAGCCTGTAAAGGCTCCCGGCCATTTAAAGAGACAACATCAGAATCAACTCTGAATGAAGTAATGGAAGCTGCAGTTTCAGGGAACTGTTCTGAAATCAGAAGCTTTGCTCCTCTGTATTCAAACATGATTAGCATCAGAGTGTACCAAATAACACTCTGCATAACCACAATTTGAACCATGAGATTCCCTGAGAAATCTCCATACATGGCTCTGAGAAGAGGGATTCCCATGACAAGGGTATTGGGCAGAGTTGAAAGGGAGAACAGAGTGATCATCCATTCCAGGCTACCATTTTTACTAAAGGCATGCCATAAGAAAAGGGCTCCTAGGATCACTACTTTCTGCAATGAATCTGCAGCTAAGAAATGGTAATTCATTTCGTAGATATTGTTTGTTGAGATGAAATGGAAGCCTAGTAATGGAACAGCAAAAACCGCCACAAAACGGTTGATTCCGGAGCATTGATCAGGGGTGAATATTCTCCACCACCGTACTGATCCATAGGCTAAGATCATAGCAACATAAAGGGGTATGATTGCAGCAAGAACATCATAGATGTCCTTTCCAGTAATCATTTTTACTAAGAATTATTGATATGTTTCAGTTGTGATACTTTAATTGAAAACTATGAAGAAGTATTGAGGATATTATGTAAGTAACAAATTTGGGAGAGATAATGTAAAGAAGTTTCAATGTTTGTGATCAAATTCATGGGATGGAAAGAAAGGAAGAAAGAAGAACCAAAAGAGAAGACTTAGAGGTATCTTTTAGTGTTTGCTTCTGTATTTATATGGCTTTGGTGATTTTGGTAGTAGCATGCATTTAAGCCAAAACTAGCTGTTATAATAAAATATATATATGAATAAAAGAAAATTCAGAAGGAAACGAAAGATGCTGAATTAAATTCAGCCCCTCAAAGTTTGCCGGAACTCAAAATGAACCGCGCTATTTAGAAAATTATGTGTTAATCTTTGACTTTCTTCATCAACATATACATTAATGTGTTCTTCATTTTCTTTCGTAAGTAAGTTGATATTTAAACAATCTTTGTATTACTGGAAGGGTTAGAACTCTTGATAATAGGCCAGTCGCGAGATATTTAAATAGTTTCTTCAAACTAAAATACTCCATTCTTAATTATTACAAAATTCGAGTACCAGAAATGTCAATGAGAGGGACGAAAGAAAAGAAATTGTTAATGCATAAGAATCTGTTTTTGCTGCAGAGCTAGTTGGTAGAGAGTGAGAGAAGTAGATTAAAATAAAGTACATGGGACTTTGAGTTTGATTTTAGGTAAGCAAGTATTTATATAAGTAGTTGAAAATGTTCACTTAAAATTGAATGAATGAAGATGATTTTGCTCCTCACACATCGCCATTGTACACGTTCCTGCACATGTTATACCCTTAATTTTGAGGGACAATACGTAAGCTTCCTCCAAAATTCTTTATATAATCCACAAGCTATTAGAGCCTTAGGCTCTACCGGTGGTGTTCCTAGTGAATCAAATCTAACTAATTAATGCCTCCCAAATTTTATAATGTTTTTTCTGGCACTAACCACTAGCTAATTTAGCCGTTAGCAATTATTCCTATGGTTTCAAAATCACATTTTATTGTTCCTAAGAATATCTTGATTCTGGACCAAGAAAAAAAAAATTAAAGAAAGGAACATGAAAATCGAGAATGTTTTGTATCTACACAATTTAAGTCTAAAAGGTGGCAATGGGGAATTCAGAAACAAGAAGGGAAAGGAACAAAATAAGAGAGACAACCAAAACATTTTTTCTTTTTCTTTTTTTTTTTTTTTGTGCTCATCAGCTTGAAAAGCAAAAAATTTCCATTTTTAATAACCAATTACTAGTGTTGAATGTTTGTGTATAATCTTTTATTTTTACTCTTCAAATTCGTGATCCCCCAGCCTCATGATCAAAGGCTCATCCTCACACTAGGGTTCGAAGACAAAATTTTTGACATTAAAAAAAAAAAAGGGACAATAATTGTTGGTGTAAAAACTAACACAATTATTTGATGTTGTGTGAAGTTTGTGGTGTAAAAACTAAAAAGAATGCATAGAAGAAGGAAAACCATGAAAACCTAGGACTCTTTTGGGCTATTTTGGCTGGTCTTGCTTGGGAAGTTTTGATAGTGACCCTTTTGAGCTAAGATCCGAAAACCTGATTAAGCCCGATCCACTTCTCCTAAACATTTGAAAACCTGGAGCCCGATCCCTTTGCACTCACATTTCCGGCTGAGAGAGAAGTTCTTCCTTTTCTTTTCCCCAGTTCTTTTTATTTTTTGCAATATAAGTTGCTAATAATATTACTCCCTCCGTCCCATAATTATTGTCCAGTTTAATCAAAATCCAAGATTTTATTTTTGGTCAAACTTAACCAAATTTTGATTTAAGATTCCAAATGTACCCCTGCACACATGGTTTAATTAATCGGCCATAAGAACACAATTTCCATTACATTTTATCACATTAAACCAAACCCAGTTTAAAACAGAGCATCACCTCTCTTTCAATCATGCGCCTATAATTGAATCAATTTCTCTTATGAAGAATTTTGAATTTGGAGAATTTTCGTACCCTTAATTTGGTGTTCATGAAGATAATTTTCTATTTCACCGGATCTAAACCATCCATTAGCACAAAACTTAAGAATCCCCCAAAACAAGCAAATCCCGCAGAACGCGAAAAACATCCATTGCCCTAAATCTTTCCTCTCCTTCAAGTCCAATCCCAGCCCAAACTCCACATTCAAAGATTCGATTTTTCTCTTCAAATGAACTCTTTGAGTCAATCTCCCAAACAGGTCCTTTTATGTTCAAATATAGCCTCCAACCCATCAACCGAATTTCCACGACTATGAGTTTCAGATCCGGGTGAGTAAAGCGGAACATTAATCTCATGGTTGCCTAAAGAACCGTTAGTGTTGTTCTGCTACTATTTTGGGTGGCTTGGGAATTGATATTTGCGTGGTTATTGCGTTTGAATGAGTGAGCGCTGCGTGTCATTGGACCCGAGAATCTTGGACTACTAACTCGTGGTGAAAGGCCATCTATGGCGGCGGCCAAGAACGGAGATAGCTTGAAGGAGCGGGCGGATTGGCGAGTACTGGATCTCGTTTTCCTTGATTCTCGTCCTTATTGATGGACAATTGTTACGTCTCGCCGGCTCCGATGCACGGTTCAAAGCTCCGGGTATCTTATGAGGGAGTTCAAAGCTCCGGTTCTAATAATAGTGAAATGCCGTTTTTGTATAAAGGGCAAATGTGTAATTGAATCCATAAAAAGTCAAATTGGACAATAATTTTGGGACAAAATTTTTTAAGCAAAGTGGACAATAATTATGGGACGGAGGGAGTATTATTGTTGCTGTCATCCAGCCAAAACTCATGAAAGTTAGTTTAAAGAATAATGTCATCGAGATTCGAGAAAAAAAGAAAAAAAAATGTTAAAGGAAATGCATAAAATGCGCAATATTGTATATTAGGGTAATGTCTGATGTTATGAGTAGCATCCATGCAACAGTAGGCTTCTTTTTTGCAACCTTACACTGGAAGAACTAGTAATGCCTTTCAAAATTGATAATGCTTCTTGTGTACTCCCTTTATCCTAAATGAGTAATGATACGTAAAGGAAAAATTTATAAGAAACATTTATAAGGAATGAGATGTCAATCATCTAAAATATGCTCTAACCTTAAATGCTTAAATCCCAAATGGAAAGTGTTAAAAATGAATAATTATGATCAATTCCTTGTCATTTTTCGTTGTAATTTTTTCTCTGTACGAATCATTATCCATGCTAGTTATAGTGAAAAACTACAAATCTAAACTAAGTTTAGTTTCAATTTAATACCTTATAATTAAGATCATTATAAGATCGGAGAGAGTATTAATTTATGCACACATTGTGGACGAGTTAGAGAAGAACAAGCATATATGGCCCGCATGCCCTCCGTGTATTACAATTAGAAAACATATCTTAATTTTTCCGTAAAAAGGATATACTCTCAGCACATAGATATGAAGTATGTATTTACTCTGCTTAATTTGTTTTCGAAAATTTATAAGAACGTAAAATGTTGTGCATTAGAATCATGCAGTCTTTTCTTTTCTTTATTTGTTTCCAGCCACCTATGACCTATGTATGGGCTATGGCCCGAACTTTTAGCTGAAGTTTGAAGTTTCGGTTCAAATGAGGAATTTCGCGACTTTTGCAATACCTTTTTATAGCTTTTTTATTTTTTTTTGGTGCTAGGTAACACAAAGTCGTGTTTTCAAATCTCGTTAGATAATCAACAAAAACAAAAGTTGCACAATAATCAAACCATTTTTTTAGACAATAATCAAACTTCAATACTAGTCTTGAACCCAGAAATAATAATAATAATAATACTCCCTCCGTCCCATAATTATTGTCCACTTTGCTTAAAAAATTTTGTCCCAAAATTATTGTCCAATTTGACTTTTTATGGATTAAATTACACATTTGCCCTTTATACAAAAACGGCATTTCACTATTATTAGAACCGGAGCTTTGAACTCCCTCATAAGATACCCGGAGCTTTGAACCGTGCATCGGAGCCGGCGAGACGTAACAATTGTCCATCAATAAGGACGAGAATCAAGGAAAACGAGATCCAGTACTCGCCAATCCGCCCCGCTCCTTCAAGCTATCTCCGTTCTTCAGCCGCCGCCATAGATGGCCTTTCACCACGAGTTAGTAGCCCAAGATTCTCGGGTCCAATGACACGCAGCGCTCACTCATTCAAACGCAATAACCACGCAAATATCAATTCCCAAGCCACCCAAAATAGTAGCAAGAATAACACTAACGGTTCTTTAGGCGACCATGAGATTAATGTTCCGCTTGACTCACCCAGATCTGAAACTCATAGTCGTGGAAATTCGGTTGATGGGTTGGAGGCTATATTTGAACATAAAAGGACCTGTTTGGGGAGATTGACTCAGAGAGTTCATTTGAAGAGAAAATCGAATCTTTGAATGTGGAGTTTGGGCTGGGATTGGACTTGAAGGAGAGGAAAGATTTAGGGCAATGGATGTTTTTCGCGTTCATGGGATTTGCTTGTTTTGGGGATTCTTAAGTTTTGTGCTAATGGATGGTTTAGATCCGGTGAAATAGAAAATTATCTTCATGAACACCAAATTAAGGGTACGAAAATTCTCCAAATTCAAAATTCTTCATAAGAGAAATTGATTCAATTATAGGCGCATGATTGAAAGAGAGGTGATGCTCTGTTTTAAACTGGGTTTGGTTTAATGTGATAAAATGTAATGGAAATTGTGTTTTTATGGCCGATTAATTAAACCATGTGTGCAGGGGTACATTTGGAATCTTAAATCAAAATTTGGTTAAGTTTGACCAAAAATAAAATCTTGGATTTTGATTAAACTGGACAATAATTATGGGACGGAGGGAGTAATATAGAAAAAAAAGTCATTCCCTCTCTTTAAAATAATTGTCCTATTTGAAATTTTACTTGTACTTTTATACAATTAGTATTAGAGACAAAAAATTCAAACCATGCAATCATTTTAAGACAA